ACCATCCGTGTGGGGGGAGGGACCCGGGCAGGAACCAGATGTACTGATGAAAACCTCTGTCACCCAAGCATGGCCTGCTCTACTCACTCAAGAGTAGCTTTCTCTGAAAGTGTACTGTTTCTTGAGTGAGAAATGGTGAAAAAAATTCGGGTCAAGTTGCCTTCTGCCATGGAGACTCCAATGACTCCAAAGTTTTAAATGCCTTTTCTCTCATATTTTTTTCACCATTTTACTTTGCTCTATTAATTCTGCCACTTGAGAGCTGTACACCAAGGGCGAGTTATTTCACCTCTTTGTGTCTTGCTTTTCCCCATTGGTAAAATAAGGATAATACTACAATAGGTATGAGAATTGGATAATACATGGAAAACTAGGGCATTGGTTCTGGAGGAAGACACACCTATGTTTAATCCTGGCACTGCCATTCCTAGCTGGTGATCACGGGCAAATTACTTTAAATTTGTGAATTTGTCTCTTCTACAATAGAGATAATAATAGAATGACATCATAGGAATGATAGGATTATGTGAGCAAATGTAGGGGAATTATCTAGCACAGTTCCTGGCATGTGGCTAATGGTCTATGAATTTAGTTCCCTTCTTCCCCAACCTCTCACTCTCCGTCCCCTTTCCTTTCCTGCCAGTAGAGTCAGGTTTACTTACTTCTCCTTGAAATTCCAGGGGTGCCTGGGTGGCTCAGATGGATAAGCATCTGCCTTTGGCTCAAGTCATGCATGGTCTCTAGGTCCTGGGATTAAGCCCTGTGTCGGGCTAACTGCTCAGCAGGGAGTCTGCTCCTCCCTTTCCTTCTGCCTCTCCCCTCTGCTCGCACTCTCTCTCTCTCAAATGAATAAATAAAATCTTTTAAAAAAATAAAGAAATTAGGAGAAAACTGAGTTGCATCATTTCAGGGTACCACACTGACTCCCCCAGATACAGAGGAACCCCTTAAACTGAAGGATACCCAGTTCAAAAAACAGGAAAGAGAACCGAAGAAAGAACCTAAATCTTGGAAATTCTGAGGCCGGTATTCTCCAAACAAAAGATCCTTTAAAAATTTTTTATTTATTTTTTATTTATTTATTTTTGAGAGAGAGCGCAAGCATGAGCAGGGGGAGGGGCAGAGGGAGAGAATCTTTCAAGCAGACTCCCCGCTGAGTGTGGAGCCCCATTCGGGGGCTTGATTCCACTACTCATGAGCTGAAACCAAGAGTCGGATGCTTAACTGACTGAGCCACCTAGGTGCCCCATTCCCAGCTTTTTAGGAGCTAGGATGTACTGCCTATGAACCTCCAGGGCTCCTTTTCCTTGTCGAAGGCCCTGCCAAAAAGGCTGGACATACTCCTCATTTTCCTTCTCCCCACCTACACTTTCACTATGGTCACAGAAGCAATTCCAGTCTAAAGGCAAGAAGAGGAATTTGCCATGAATTATGGGTCCCTCTGCTAAGCTCCCAGAGCCCTCTGGGCATACCTCTATCACTTACCACTTAACTGCTAACATGATTTGTCTTCCATCCCACTGGGCTAGAAATCTGGTTAGTCTGAGTTTGCATCTTACTTGACATTTTTATATCCTTACTTCTAAGCACAATACCATTCGTTCACATCTGTTGTCTTGAAGGTGCTCAGTACCACATTTTTTCCCTTACTTTCTTTTCTTGTTCACTGTGTGTCTGCCTTATCCCCAAGTGCCATGAGGGTAGAAATCTTACTGGTCTTTTTCTTTTCTTTCTTTTTTTTAAGATTTATTTATTTATTTGAGAGAGAAAGCATGAGCAAGTGGGGGGAGGGGCAGAGGGAGAGAGAGAATCCTGAAGCAGACTCCCCACTGAGCAAGGAGTCAGACCCTGAGATCATGACCTGAGCCAAAACCAAGAGTCGTCTGCTTCACCTACTAAGCCACCCAGGTGCCCCACTGGTCTTTTTCTTTTTTTATTTTGAAATAATTTCAGACCCATAAGTTCAGAGAACGCTCTTCACCCACTTCCTAGTTGTTAATATGTTACATTTGCCATATGGTGTATCAGTTTCTCTTTATGTATATACATTGTTATGGACGGCAGTGTGCCTTTCCCCAAATTCATTTGTTGAATCCCTCATCCCCAGTACCTTAGAATGTGACTGCATTTGGAAATAGAGCCTTTAGAAACATAATGAAGTTAAAATGAGGCGGTTAGGGTAACTCCAAATCCAATCTGACTGGTGTCTTTATGAGAAGAGGTGATGAAGGTATCCAGAGAGACAGCAGAAGTGTACTGCCTTAGGGGAAACCCATGAGTGGACCGCGAGAGGGCAGCCATACGCAAGGCAAGGAGAGAGGCCTCAAGAGAGAAAACGCCCTGCCAACACCTTGATCATGGACTTCCAGCTTCTAGAACTGGGACAAAATAAATTTCTGTTGTTTAAGCTACCCCGTCTACAATATTCTGTTATGACACCCTTAACAAATCAATCTTTATACAGGTGACCCTTGAACCACATGGGTTTGAACTGCTTGGGTCCACCATGTAGAATTTTTTCGATAAATACAGTACAGTACTAGAAATGTATTTTTCTCTTCCTTGATTTTCTTGATAACACTTTCTCTTCTCTAGCTTAACTTTTTTTTTTTTTTTTAAGATTTTATTCATGGGTGCCTGGGTGGCTCAGTTGGTTAAGCGACTGCCTTCGGCTCAGGTCATGATCCTGGAGTCCCTGGATCGAGTCCCGCATCGGGCTCCCTGCTTGGCAGGGAGTCTGCTTCTCCCTCTGACCCTCCCCCGTCTCATGCTCTCTCTCTATCTCATTCTCTCTCAAATGAATAAATAAAAAAAAAATCTTTAAAAAAAAAAAAGATTTTATTCATTTATTTGTCAGAGAGAGAGCACAAGCAGAGGGAGTGACAGGCAGAGGCAGAGAGAGAAGCAGGCTCCCCGATGAACAAGGAGCCTGATGTGGGGCTCAATCCCAGGACCCTGGGATCATGACCTGAGCCGAAGGCAGACACTTAGCCAACTGAGCCACCCAGAGGCCTCTCTCTAGCTTACTGTATTGTAAAAAAATATATGGATATAATACATATAACATAAAATACATGTTAATTGACTGTTTATGTTATCAGTAAAGTTTTTGGTCAATAGTAGGATATTAGTAGTTAAGCTTCTGGGGAGTCAAAAGTGATATGAGGATTTTTGACTAGGTGGGGGTGTGCACTCATAACCCCCCAGTTATTCAAAGGTCAACTGTATTATATTATGCTATGTTATATTATATATATATTTTTTTCTGAACCATTTGAAGACATGATGTCTCTTTATTTCTAAAGCCAAGTACATTCTTTTATGTAACCACAATATGGTTAAGTAAAGCAGGAAATTAACACTAATACCATGCTATTAGCTGATCTACAGACTTTATTAATATTTTGCCAATTGTCCTGTAATATCCTTTACAGCAAAGAGAAAGGAAAAAGAAAAATGAAATAAAGAGGGCACCTGGGTGGCTCAGTCGGTTAAGCGGCTGCCTTTGGCTCAGGTCATGATCCCAGTGTGCCGGGATCGAGTCCCGTGTTGGGCTCCCTGCTCAGCATGGAGTCTTCTTCTCCCTCTGCCCCTCGCTCCGCTCAGGCTCACTTGCTCTCACTTCCTCTCTCTCTCAAATAAATAAAATCTTTAAAAAAAAGAAAAGAAAAGAAAAATGAAATAAAGAGAAAGAAAAATAATTTTTTTGGTTCCAAATCACACATTACATTTGTTATGTCTAGACTTCTCTAATCTAGAACAGTTCCTCATGCTTTTTCATGACTTTGACATTTTTCAAAGAGTACAGGTTGCTTTTCTTGTAGAATGTCTCTCAGTTTGGGCTTGTCTGATACTTCCTTGTGATTAGATTAAGATCCACTAGCATATTCCAAAATTTCAGGAATATGGGTTTTTCCTAGACTGTTTTAATATTCCAGGTCTTTGTTCTCTCCTCTCAGTGTGTAAATGAAAAATCTGTAATAGTTTTTAGGGGACTTAATGGTTTAGGAAAAAATCACTTCATTCAATTTTCAGACTTGTGAAGAGTTAGGAAGTGATGTGTCCTCCTTAACGCATCATAATGCGTGTCTGTTCCATTACCGATGGTGTTAACTTTGATCACTCGTTTAAGGTCATGACTTTCAGGTTTCCCTTTGTAAATTTACTATTTTCCCCCTTTACTATTTTTTTTTAAAAGATTTTATTTATTTATTTGACAGAGAGAGACACAGCGAGAGAGGGAATACAAGCAGGGGGAATGGGAGAGGGAGAGGCAGGCTTCCTGCGGAGCAGGGAGCCCGATGCGGGGCTCGATCCCAGGACCCTGGGATCATGACCTAAGCCGAAGGCAGACGCTTAACGCCTGAGCCACCCAGGCGCCCCCCCCCCCTTACTATTAATAAGTATTTTGTGGGAGAGATACTTTTACACTATGCAAAAAGGGTAGCCAGATAAAATACAGGAAGCCCGGTTTAATTTTAATCTCAGATGACCATCGAATACTATCCTACTACAAGTATGACCCCTCCTCCTAAATTATTTATCTAAAATTCAAATTTAATTGAGTGTCTTGTATTTTTACTTGCAAGATCTGGCAACCCAGTAAGTACATACCTGTTCCTCATCCAGTTTCATCCAGTTGTTTTGACATCCATTGATGATCGTTTTTCCTATGATTTCGTCAGTTTCTTTCTAACTCCATCATTCTTCTATTTGCCTATCTTTTTATCCACTTTTTATGCTGCCTGGCACACAGTAGGCGCTCAGGTATTTCTTCAAGCAATGAATGAACAAACTCTCACTCGTGCTGGCCAGGCCTCCGTGACACCCGCTGCGTCGGGCAGGGGCTTGCCTTCCTCGGCCAATCTCTGCCGGCTACCGGGGCTTCAGAGCCTTCTAGGGCTCCCCTGCTGGCTCTTCTTGCTCCAATCACAAGCAGGGCTTTGCTGGGAAGTGGCCAATGGGTGCGGGCGGGAGGCGGGGCCTGCCACGCGGCCGCGGTATAACTGCACGGCCCGCGCGCGCGCTTCTCCCCTGGCGCGGACCTTGGCGCGGGTGATGGCTGCTGTTTCCGTCGTGTCCACGTTGGCCACCCGGCTGCTCCGGCCCGCGCAGAGCTGCCGCCTCCGTCATCGCCCCTTCCACGTCTCGGTAGTTCGGTAAGAGGGTCCGGGAGCTGGGTCAGCGCCGAAAGCCGAGGGGAACCGAGGGTGGGGGGCCACCCGGGCTCCAAAGGGGCGCCGAGGGACGTTCTACCGAGCATCTCTGTCCCGGACGGTGACGGGGCGACGTGGCTGCCGAGCGCGGCCGCAGTCTGCGACCTGAGCGCTCGCTCCGTGGGGCGGGCTGATGCCCGGAGCCCGCCTTTCAGAGGGAGCCGGTCTCTGCAGCCCCGGGGCGTCGCCCTCTCTCGGGGCCAGTCCGTACGCGGGACGGGGCCCACGGTGCAGAGCGAAGGTGCAGGCGGGCTCTGGGGCGCCCGGATTTACGCGGGACCGTACGGAGGTTACCGGCCAGAACCTGCCGGCCGCCCTTGGCGGTGTTGCCGAGCCGCTTGGCCAAGCAGAGCATACGCTTCGGCGAGCGCCGGGAAGGACTGAATGAGCAGCCTTCAGTGCGCGTCGGGATCCTAGCGGCAGAGGAGGTTGGTGCAGTCTGATGAAATCCCACAGCCGGCTTGCTCGCCGGGTACCAGCTCTTCCCTCCTCCTTCGGGAGGTGGATGTGGCTCCCGCAGCTCTCCAAGCTGCCCCTTCCCCTGCCAAGAGAATAAATGTGCTGGGGTCACCAGGGCTTTGATGCGGTCCACCCGGAGCTAGTCACTGCCAGGCTGGTAAATTGAAGGGAAAAAAGCCCGAGAGGAGGAGAGAAGAGCTCTGTTTGCCTTTTCTTAGGGAGGTAATGGGTTTTTCCTGATCTTTCTAGACTTCAAACTCCCATTCTTAAACCTAGGTTGAAGAGTCTTCTGGGGGCCTGTGCTTTCTCTCCCTAAATCTGCGCACTCCCTCGCCCATCTTTAGAGCCTTTGCGTTGCCAGCGAGCTGAGCCCTGTTATAGCAGCCCCTTCTTTCATCTTGGCACTTGGCTAGGCTGTGTGAATTCAGGGATGATCATAAGTCCTCTTTCCTAGTCGAACTCCCTTACCTGTCAAGGGGCAGAACACGTGTGTACTTTCCACTCAGTGTAAAAAAAAAAATGTTAGAAACATTGCCAAGATGCTGTCGTAGCACAGAATGAGGATTAATGCGTTCTTGAAAGAAGACCCGGGACACTCAGGGCTTTTCTTGTTCTGACCCTGACCTGCCTTTCAGCCCCATCCCTCATTACTGTCTGTTCTCTTCCCCGCTGCTCCCTTCCTGAGTTCTGGCCACGTGTGCCTGTGGCTTTCATGATTGAAGAGATTTGTAAAGATCCTCTAATTCATCACCTAGAAAACTGGACCAGTTTGTTCACTCTCCAGTAACAGATGCCCTCCTTTCACTAACGTTTCTGAATGAACAAGTAGACTTCCATATCTCTGAAGGCAATACTATGGTATTTATGGTTTCCTTGTATTGCTTTGATCACTGCTGGCTAGTAAATGTAAAACAGTATCTTTTATGAGTCTGCATGAATTCCTTTTGAGGGGGGAGGGTTTCAGGAACATAAACTCGTGGTTGGAGAGAGAGTACTATAGTAGACTGGGGTATAGGGAAAAATGGACTTTGGAGGCAGAGGTTTGTGTTTGAATCTTGTTTCTACTGTCCTCACTTTCCCTTTCTGTAGTATAACAGTATACTATTATACTATTATAGTATAATAATAGTATAATAGTATTATAGTTAGTATAATAACCCCAAGGTAAATGAGAGTAATGTATGTAAAACTCATAGCAAAATACCTAGTGTTTAATAGATGTTAGTTCCATCCCCCTTTGTATGTAATTAATTAGTAGATAACCGAACCCTTTCCAGAATAACCTGATCATAAACTGTAAAATGCACCTGATAATTGTTTTTATGGAAAATTATAGTGTTGTACGCTATTGAATTAGGAAAGCGAAGATGCTACTGAGCTGGATTTTGAATTTTATTTGAACAGTCCTTGTGACTTTTTTCATCTGTTCACTCATTTTATTTTATTCTCATTCGTAATTTTAACCCATTATTAAACACATCTGTGAAAAGCATTTAATTCCTACATAAGTGTTAGCTAATATAGTTAATACATTTTGGATTCCCTGTGGGACTGAGCTGAGCCTCTATTTCTGTTTCTTTTGAGGTAGCAGTTACTTTATCTGCCCTTTGGCAAAAGAGATGATGGGAAATGAGGTAATGACTCACTGGCAGGACTGTTTCACATTTTGCAGAGTTGTATATGCAGAGGAGAGCTAAAACAGCTGATATTACAGAAGATACTCATTGTGTTGTTGCTTTGTTTTGGTTCTAGTTGCTCTTTGACAGTTTCTTTTAAAGCTAATTGGCGTAACATCCAGAACCTGCCTTTGGGACTTGGAACACTGGGTTCTCCCAGAACCCTCTGTTTTTAACTGTAGTAGATTAGTCTTAGCCCAAATGTGCTGCTACCATTTTGTCTAAGTTCATGGCTTTCAATTTCTTAAAAAATATTTTATTTATTTGAGAGAGTCAGAGAGTGTGGGGTGGGGTGGGGGAGGAGCAGAGGGAGAGAGACAAGGGTGGAGCCTGACAGGGCCCTGCACACAACCCTGAGATCACAACCTGAGCTTAATTCACTAGCCACCTCAAAAGGAACTTTTTAAGGAAATGTGATTTAAGACTTTACTGAATATTTATATGTGTGTATATATGTTTACACACATATCCTTATGAGTAAGTAAATATATGTGTTATATATTAAGGATATGCGACTTGTGTGTTTGTAAATCTAACCAACGGAAGAGAGTAAGAAATTAATTTTTATTGAATATATATGCCTTGCACTTTATATATGTTATTTCATTCATTATAAATCATTGTCATAAGCTCTTTTAAAGTAATCTTTCATTCTACAGCATTGCAGGGTTGGGAATATATTTCTGTACTGGGGCTATTTCCCAGGAGTGTTGCCAGAGGTGTTTGTGTCCAAAGCCCTTTGAATGAAGTCCCCTTCAACTCTAGTTTTAAAATTGATTTGTGAATGTTAACATGTTTTCAGTTCCTTAATATACCATGGGTGTATGTGAAATGCTATTATATATTTTGTGCTATGCTGGTATCATTACATAAAATTTGGGTGAAAGTGCTGTTTGCTATAAAATTTTATCTTTTTAAAGCTCCCAAGATACAAATACAAATTAATATAAAGTTTAGATATAAAATTACTGCTTTATATATAAGACATTTCAATCTGGTTTAAAGTAGGTGTTTAATCTTAATGGAAAAGAAGCATGGAAGGTTTAAAGACTGTTGAAGCTTTAAAATTCCATTTTAGGGGTGCCTGTGTGGCTCAGTCGTTGTGTCTGCCTTCGGCTCAGGTCATGATCCCAGAGTCCTGGGATTGAGCCCCACGTCAGGCTCCCTGCTCGGCGGGGAGCCTGCTTCTCCCTCTCCTACTCCCCGTGCTTGTGTTCCCTCTCTCGCTGTCTCTCTCTGTCAAATAAATAAATAAAATCTTTAAAAAAGATAAAATAAAATTCCATTTTAATTAACAGTGGTCTTAAGAATGAATGATACCTGGCTGGCTCAGTTGGTGGAGCGTCCAACTCTTAATCTCGGGTTTCTAAGTTCAAGCCCCATGTTGGACGTAGAGATTACTTAAAAATAAAATCTAAAAAAAAAAAAAAAGAATGAATCATATCTGACCATACAGGATATCGAGTACCTTGGTGTTATCCCTGAGAATTAAATATGTGCCATTAGGGGAAACTTTTTCAATATTTCAGACAACTGTGTGTTTCATTGGTCTTGAGATTGAAGGATTCTTTGTGATACTGAAGACAGAAAGGAAACAAAAGGGGAAGACTTATTTCCACTAGACCTTTATGCTAAAAGAGCAGTTGCTCATCCTACATTAAGTATTGGGAACTTTATTATAAGGCCACGTATGGAAATAAGAAAACCAGGAATCTTCCACATTAGAACCCAGGAAGAGCTGCATAAACAGTTCTTATTGGGAAGAAGTGGTCTTTCAGAGATCGGAACATGGTTTTGGGAACTGGAGGTTCTTCTAGACCCTGAGTTTTCTCGTTGCCCCATCAGTAGCAGTTTCCGCATCTCTTGCTCTGTCCTACCATGACTGTGACTTCTATTCTCTCTGTCTCTACTTTTTTTCTATGTCTGTCTTCAGCTCCTCCCACCAACAGGTCCTCTGTGGTTCTAGTGTGTGAATGTGTTTCAGGGAGAAGCTCTTACCAGGCTAGTTTACCACTGCTCCTGTTGCTCTGAGCTTGTGCACCAACTGGACCCAGCTGGCTGGCCTAGAAATTGTCCTTGGTGTCCGATAGTCATTCCTGATCTGTCAGCTGTGGGTGGGCCACTGGGGTCCTGGGGTAGAGCACACTGCCACCCATGGCATGGAACCTCCTTATTCTTACTGGGAAAGTCTTCTCCAGGAGGGGCTGTGGGGAGCAGTGGTAATTTTGAGGTTTGATCTGTCCAGAACATTGTCTATTCGTTTAATTGCATAACATAATTTATATATTTGAAAGCATCATAGAAATTAAAAGCCAGGGGCGCCTGGGTGGCTCAGTCGTTGAGCGTCTGCCTTCGGCTCAGGTCATGATCCCAGAGTCCTGGGATCGAGTCCCGTATCGGGCTCCCTGCTCAGTAGGAGGCCTGCTTCTCCCTCTCCCACTCCCCCTGCTTGTGTTCACTCTCTCGCTGTCTTTCTCTCTATCAAATAAATAAATAAATAAAATCTTAAAAAAAAAAAGAAATTAAAAGCCAATTGACTTAACTGGGAAATGGTTTGAAACACATGGCTGGATGCTAATAACTTAGGCAAAACACAAACTACAAAATGGTATATAAGCATATAGGAAACACTAACCTCAGAGTGGTGACGGGTCAAATAAAACAATGCAAATTAAAACAGTGGAAAGCTTTTTTTGGGGGGGGAGGGGTCTATCAATGTGTCAATGATCAGGGGTCCAGATGGTGTAGCGGTAAGAGCCTGGACTCTGGATTCAGACTGAGCTGGGTATGAGGGCCAGCTTTGCCGAGTACTAGCTGTCACTCACTTAACCTCTCCAAGCTTCAGGGTAATGATAGTATTTCAGTCAACGTTATCTCCCCAAACATGTCGCTGGACACAGATTTACCACTCTGAAACTGCCCTTCAGATTTCTGTTGTCCCTCAGCTTAGGCACCGTGTGTTTTAATCTACTCTTTAAGTTTGGGGTGTTTAATAAGCTTTTTTTTTTTTTTGGAGTCTGATCTTTACTTTTCACAAAAATTTAAGCTATTTGGTTTTGTGACTGTTGTTGCCTTCTGCAGAAATGAAGCCGTTGTCATTTCTGGAAGGAAGCTGGCCCAGCAGATCAAGCGGGAAGTGTGGCAGGAGGTGGAAGAATGGGTGGCTTCGGGCAACAAGCGGCCGCACCTGAGTGTGGTTCTGGTGGGCGAGAATCCTGCAAGTCACTCCTACGTCCTCAACAAAACCCGGGCCGCTGCAGAAGTGGGTATGTGTCACTCGCAGACCCTGGCTGCCGTCAAATTGTGGCTTATCTGATGCAAACTCCATTGGCACTCATGACTCTTTCTTCTGCTTAGAAGACTCAAGCAGAGGAGGCTGATGGGATTGAACTGTATCCAAAATGTGGTCATTAAGAAATTAGGCCTATCTGCTGGGGAGGCTTATAGACTAGGATGGAAGGAATATGGTTGGTGTTCTCTGTGTCTTCTGGAATATAAGCTAAATTCTGTCTTTAGTCTTAACATTAGACAAGGGACCTTGAACACATTTTATATTTGTTTTCCTTGACAGACATGAGCGTCTGGCTGAGATGTTTGAGCATTTGGTTGAGGAGGCCTCAGTGATGTGACCTAGAACACAGTCCTAGGTTTGAAGGAAATGACTGACTTCTGGGAAATAGCTTTTGGCTTCTCTACCAACTGGGTCCACAGCCAATTGAATCATGCAGTGGGGAGCAACTGGGTGACTCAGTTAGTTAAGTGGCCGACTCTTGATTTCAGCTCAGGTCATGGTCTCAGGGTCCTGGGATTGAGCCCCACATCAGGCTCCGCACTCAGCAGGGAGTCTGCTTGAGGATTTTCTCTCTCTCTCCCTCTGCCCCTCCCCCTGCTCACATGCTCTCTCTCTTTAAAATAAATAAAAATAAATCTTAAAAAAAAATTATGCAGTGGTTAGAGTTTGGAATGCAAAAGCTGAGGGTCTGGGTGATGGGAGGTTCGTGTTTGAGGTCTCGCTGTACCACAGACTCTGTGTGACGGTAGACCTCGGGTGGGTGGGCTTGGCTCTGCCTCTTCCTGCTCCCCTGTGGGTCAGTGGTATGAGACCTGGGTGCCCTTCCTTCTGAAAGGCTGTGAAAACCCCTGGGGTGGCTGGGCCATTGACTGGGCCATGAGTCCTTGGTATCACAGGATTGAGGCCTCCTGCCCTTTTCTTTGAAAAATCTTTAGAAACTCTAGAAAATGGCAAGCTATGGCTTTTTAAGACACTGGGAGGAAGCACAGTGCAGTGGAAAGAACATGGACTCCAGAACTGGAAGGATTGCCTTCATCACTAGATGGCTTGTGTTTCAATTTTGCTGAGCCTCTGCCTCCTTTTCTGTAAATTGAAGCTCATGAGGATAGTGTAGAATAATGTAGATAATTGTTGAGCCAGCATTCTCTAGAGTGTATATTTGTGAAGTTAATTTTTTAGGTGCCTTGGGAACTGACTGGGGCTTTTTAGCTACCAGGGTTGGGTGTGATAAAGAACCTCTATGTTAGAATACCATGGCAGGCAACATAGCGTTGCTCATTAAATGCCTCGATATTTTTTTTTAACGTTGGAATTTTCTTATAGGAATCAACAGTGAGACAATTGTGAAACCAGCTTCAATTTCAGAGGAAGAACTGTTGAATTTAATCAATAAACTAAATAATGATGATAATGTAGATGGCCTCCTTGTTCAGCTGCCTCTTCCAGGTGAGTTTTGGACTCTATCACTTAGAATGATTTCTGAGGAGTAGAGGATTCTTAGCTACTTTATACACCTGGCCCCTCGTGGATCTGACTTAAAGGGGAGGTAAACTCGAGAGAGTGAATCTTTTACTAAGTATGCACCAACCTACTCAGAATACCAATTACTCCTTGACTCGGAATTGAGATCTTGATACAAAGTGGCAGTGGAGGGAAGCAGCTGTACAAGAGGATACTGCCTTTGATGCTGGCGTTTGGCTTTGCTTGGTGTGTGTTCCTTCTGTGCAGACCAAGAAGTCAATCATAGAGGCCTGTCGTGGAAGGGGAACGGGTTTGCGCGATAAACCAGCTGAGCTGGAGTCAGGCGGTGCCAACTAGGTGACAGTGACCTCAGGCCGCTGCTCTGATCTCTCTTTCAGAGCACATCGACGAGCGAAAGATCTGCAACGCTGTTTCCCCAGACAAGGATGTTGATGGCTTTCATGTCATTAACGTAGGGCGAATGTGTCTGGACCAGTACTCCATGTTACCGGCTACCCCATGGGGTGTCTGGGAAATAATTAAGCGAACTGGTAGGTATATCCCATAGTCATACAACTATGTATGTGTTAGGATCATGAAACCAGTACTCGCCAGTGGTAACAGTGCCTACAGTTGCAGAGTGGACACTTGGGCCCCACGTCCTCCAGTCCTGCCCCCAGAGCCTGTCTCTCCCTGTGGTTGCCTCTATTGACTTTGTTGCTACTTAATCCAGAAGCCTCCGCAAAGGAAACATAAGGTTTCATTGGGTTGATAGTACACACTCATATAGTATTTTGTAGCTTCCAGGGTGCTTTCTCTCATGTTCTTTTAGTCTTCAGGATGTGTAGCAAGTGATGGGCCCCCTTGACTGTTGAGGCAACAAGCTTAGTAACTCCCTTCCTTATCACAGTTAGATTCATGTCCTAGGCCCTCTGTCTGCCTTCTTTGGTGCTCCTTCTAGCATAGTCTGGTACTCCTTTTCATGTAAATATATATATTTCTTCATAGGCATTCCAACCCTAGGGAAGAATGTGGTTGTGGCTGGGAGGTCAAAAAATGTTGGAATGCCCATTGCCATGCTGCTCCACACAGATGGGGCGCACGAACGTCCTGGAGGTAAGGAAACGGCTTTCAGAGGAGTGTTCCCTGCTCCCTTATGTGCGAACCTCTGCAGGGTGTCCTGTGTTTGTTAAACTTTGTATTTGTATTTGTTGTAATTTTGTTAGCAGATATTTGGGGAGTAATCTTTGTAGGAGAAGCTGAACTCCTCCTGTCACCTGAGACTATTTATATTCATTTATTAGGGAACTAGTACAGAAATGGATATGCCTCAGAAATATATTTGAGTTTTGAATGTAAGCATGGTTGTAGGCAATTAGACATTTTCAGTTATGGCTTTGATAGTTTGAACTAAGAAACAGTTCATAGTATCCCATTCTGTGTCACTTGATAGAAAAAAAAATTTAAACCTTGAATAATTCTAGTGATATTTTGCTTAGGAAAGGTAAGATTCTTGAAAGGCTGCCAAATAGGATAAGGAATAAATTTAATTTTAAATGATTCCAAAGGGTGGAGCTAGGATGAGGGGATAAAAGTTATAAGAAACTGGGTATTTACCCAAAGAATACAAACATAATGACCCAAAGAGGCACCTGCACCCCAATGTCCACAGTAGCCAAACTCTGGAAAGAGCCCAAATGTCCATTGACAAATGAATGGATAAAGAAGAGGTGGTATATATATACAATGGAATATTACTCAGCCATCAAAAAAGAGATCTTACCATTTGCAACCATGTGGACGGACCTAGAAGGTATTATACTAAATGAAATAAGTCAGTCAGAGAAAGACAATTATCTTAAGAGTTCACTCATGTGGAATTTAAGAAACAAAACAGAATCTTAGGGAAAGGGAGGGAAAAATAAAATATGAAATCAGAGAGGGAAACAAACCATAAGAGACTCTTAACTACAGGAAACAAACGGAGGGTTCCTGGAAGGGAGGTGGGTGGGGGGATGGGGTGACTGGGTGATGGGCATTAAGGAGGGCACTTGATGGAATGAGCACTGGGTGTTATATGTAAGTGATGAATCACTGAACTCTACTTCTGAAACTAATAATATGCTCTATGTTAATAATTGAATTTAGATTAAAAAAATAAAAGAAACTAGGTATTAATGGCTCAAAAGTAACTGGTACTTAGCTGTCCAGAAAATATGGTACACGAATTAAGTCAATTACTGCTTCAGAGTTGGTGAATTTCTAAAATGGGTTGCCTAGTCGAGACCTAATCCAATCTCAGCTTTGATTTAGAAACCAAGACGTGTATTTTTTAATTCCTAGGTGACGCCACTGTGACAATATCTCATCGATACACCCCCAAAGAGCAACTGAAGAAGCACACAGTTCTTGCAGACATTGTGGTCTCTGCTGCAGGTAGGAACCCCAAGGAGGGGAGGGAAGGGCCTCCCCTCAGAAGGGTGAAGGGCGCCTGGGTGGCTCAGTTGGTTAAGCGACTGCCTTCGGCTCAGGTCATGATCCTGGAGTCCCGGGATCGAGTCCCGCATCAGGCTCCCTGCTCGGCAGGGAGCCTGCTTCTCCCTCTGACCCTCCCCCCTCTCATGTGCTCTCTCTCTCTCATTCTCTCTCTGTCAAATAAATAAATTAAAAAAAAATCTTAAAAAAAAAAAAAATTAAAAAAAAAAAAAAAAGAAGGGTGAAGACAGACCTCTTATCTTAGAATTTGCCTGCCTCTGTGCCACCCCATTCTCCGTTCTCCTAGCCGTGATACTGTGTGCGGCCCAGAGAGATGAGGCAAGAACGGTGCGTGCGGCCTTGGTTTCTGGCCTCCAGTCTTGACTTGATGGGTGAATGTTGCTTCAAAAACCTCTGACTGTGTCTGTTTACTGTATGGAGTTGCAGTGCTTTCTTGGCTAATGGTTTTTACAGGTTTTCATCAAACAAGCTAATTAGTTCTTCCAGGTCTCTTAAAATTGAAATCAGGTAAGACTCTGACAAGCAGAATCTTCCTTTCAGGACTAGTGATCATTCCTCTCATTCCTCTCTCCGTTTGCAGGCATTCCAAGTCTGATCACAGCAGATATGATCAAGGAGGGAGCTGCAGTCATCGATGTGGGAATAAACAGAGTTCAAGATCCCATCACAGCTAAACCCAAGTTAGTTGGAGATGTGGACTTTGAAGGTAAATGGTATAATTTTCTTAAAATATAAAATCAGTAAATACTACCTTTAATGGACATTTAGGACAGATCATTTACTTTTAACTTACGTTACTCTGGGGGCACCTGGCTGGCTCAGTCCATAGAGCATGTGACTCTTGATCTCAGGGTTGTGTGTTGGGGGTAGAAATTACTTTAAAAAAAAAAAAGCAAAAATAAAACCATCTTATGTTACTCTGGTAATTCAAAATGCATTCCACATGAATTAAGAGAAACTTAAATTATAGTCATTCTAGAACCATTTTAATTGTTTATATCATAAAATTATGGGGACCGGGTATAAACTTTTCAGGGAGGTGTTTGTTCTTTCCTTAGGGTTACTTCATAATTAAAACGACTTCATCACTTTTAACATGTCTAAAAATTTAATGAGTTGACTTTCCGAAACCATTGAGTCTCCTAGAAGGTGTTACAGATTTATCATTTTCACATTGAGAGGAGAGATCACAGACCTGGAATGTTAAAAATGGTCCAGGAAAGGGCGCCTGGGTGGCTCAGTTGGTTAAGCGACTGCCTTCAGCTCAGGTCATGATCCTGGAGTCCCGGGATCGAGTCCCGCATCGGGCTCCCTGCTCGGCAGGGAGTCTGCTTCTCCCTCTGACCCTCCCCCCTCTCATGTGCTCTCTCTCTCATTCTGTCTCAAATAAATAAATAAAATCTAAAAAAAAAAAAAAAAAAAAATGGTCCAGGAAAGAACCACATTCCTGGATTTTGAAATATACTAGTAGATTTCTCCTTTCAGTTCTTAAGTTATCATGTTTATCTCAATTTTGGGCTGGTAAACCTATTTCTAGTTTTCTATTTCTTTTTTTTTTTTTTTTAAGATTTTATTTATTTATTTGACAGAGAGAGAGACAGCGAGAGCAGGAACACAAGCAGGGGGAGTGGGAGAGGGAGAAGCAGGCTTCCTGCTGAGCAGGGAGCCTGATGCGGGGCTCGATCCCCGGACCCTGTGATCATGACCTGAGCCGAAGGCAGACGCTTAACGACTGAGCCACCCAGGCGTCCCTTTCTAGTTTTCTATTTCTAATAAAGCAATCAGACACAAGCCTAGGTATCTTAAGTATTTTTCCTTTAAGATTGGGTTAGAAAAAATCTTACTTCTCACTTTCCAGAAAATTACTTGGCTTTGGTGCTTTGGGCAAACAGTATAGTTAAATAAATATAATCAATAAATAGTAAATAAAAGTAAGAAAATGTTGTAGGCAGGTATTAATTGGTAATATATTAATAATATAATAAATATAGTTATACCTCACATAGAGTTAACCCATTGAGGTGTTTCTTTTCAAACTGATTTAATATGGAGGAAAAGTATGGATGGTAAGTTATAGGTTATTTAGATGTATAAATATTCATTGAACAACTCGTATTACATGCATGTTCTTTTTTTAGTATGTTCAAAAGCCTTTACCCCTGAGTAATGTAGATAGGACTTTTTTTTTTTTTTAATGAGTTTGAGGCTTACGAAGGTGCTTATCTTATATATATTCTTTTTCTTTGACTGCTTCCACGGCACATTAAGATGCATACATTTCCTTTGCCATAATTAAGGCAGTCTACCCATCCTGTTTCTATGTAGGAGTCAAAAAGAAAGCCGGTTACATCACTCCAGTCCCTGGGGGTGTTGGTCCCATGACAGTGGCAATGCTGATGAAGAATACCATTATTGCCGCAAAAAAGGTGCTGAGGCTTGAAGAGCGGGAAGTATTGAAGCCTAAGGAGCGTGGAGTAGCAACCAATTAACTGTTGTGTCGTCTGTCACGAACACCACTCCAAGCCGGTCAGAGAGGCGGAACAGGCCAATAGAAATGCAATATTTTTTATTTATTTTACTGAAATGGTTTAAAATGATGCTTTTTGTATTTATTGAAAGCAGAAATGGCGGGGGGCTGCCGGTGCACATGGCTCTGCCGTGCCTCCTGCTGGGTCGTGGGAGCCGGCCAAGGGAAGCCGTTCACCTGGTGGTGATGAACGTGGAGGACATCGTCCCATTGAGAGCGGGTGCTTAACTGGGTGAAGCCACTTCAGTTAAAATCTGCCTTTTCTAGGATTGCATTTCCTAAGTGCTATTTCAATAAGAGTTGATACTCACTTTAGGTTCCAAGCCTTTTGAGTTCAACTGGTCAAACCAAAGGAAAAATGTTGCTAGAGAAAATTAGGGAAAAAGTCAAAAGGAAGAAATGATAATTGAGTAGAAAAAAACATTACTGTAACTTACATTCCTATGGTATGTAAAACTAATTGTGAATGGTGTCCTGAGCTGTCATTCCGTGGCTTAGTCATTGGGAAAATATTTAGGGTAGTTCCGCATCAGTCCTCGTCCCACGTGTATTATATTCACGAGGCTTTCCCATTTTCCTCTAGGATTGAAAGGCTTATTTTATTTTATAGATTATTTGTGTGTGTTGTCATATTTGGCTTTTCCTCTATCCTTAAACTTCACTGTTATATCTTTGTACTCTTGGGGGTGTCTGTATGGTTTCCTTGGGATATCTTGAAACCTATTTTTGAAAAACAAAACTTGGGCTTGATAATCATTAGGATTAGGGCAGCTTGTTTAAGTATGAACTTACTTTTCCACCAAAGACTTGTCAGCAGCTGCCTGCTTTTCTCAGATGTATTTGTTGACTTTCCCCAATGGGTTTTTGAGAACTTGAGTTCACATTGAATTTAATCAGACTTTCTGATTAAAAGGGTTTTTTTTGTGTGTTTCACCTTTTTTTTTTTAATAAAACACTTCTGACTGGTGTGGAATGAGTTCTCCAAAATACTGTATCTTCCTGCTACTGTCCTGGTTGTGACCTAATCGTAGTTAATCTTTCTCATTAGATGTAACGGGTGTCAATATTCCTATATTTGGTAACACCTAATCCTGTGCCTTAAACAAACTGATACAAAGCGCAGCTGTGGAGAAACCAGTCTAGTCCTTTCAGTCTAATGTCCCAACAGGCTGTGCCAAGCTGGGAGCTTAATCTGTAAGATTCATTTAAGTGGTTAGGCTTATTCTGGGTGTTTTCTAAACCATGCAGTTGAATTTACACATTGTTAGCTTTACAAAGGACTTCTTGATGTGCCTGCTGACAACCCCCTCCCCCTTCAGGCGCCCCACTCTCTATACAATTATTTTTTCAATGTGTGTGTTTGATTTTGACAGATTGGAAGTATTTGCTGTGCATATTTTGAGGCTGGGATAGGCCCCTGTGTATTCTCTGTTCTCTTCCAGCGTGGAGTATTTTGGCTTCCAAGCAGACAGATCCTCCTGCTCCTGCTCCAGCCTGCTTCAGGTAGAAAGAAAGGAACAATGGGGAGCTGACTTCTCTTTGTTCTTCTGCGACAGCCTTTATTCTTTGGATAGTTTCCTGGAGATGAAAGAGAATAGTTCGCTGGAGATGTTTTTGTAAGTGAGGGTTAGCTCATGTCCATATCCCATGTTTGCTGACTTGACCAAAATTACTAAACATGGAGCAAGATGAGCAGACAGGATTAAGTTTTATTGAATTACAGTTATAAGTGGAAAGAAATTCTGACCTAGAACATGGAGAAGTAACAATATGTCCACCTGTTAAAAGTTGTCAAAATTAAAATGTTCATGTATATACAAAATATAAATGACATATAAGGTGAAAATTACAGTGATCAATTTACAACAACAAAAAATTAACATTGTAGTTTCCAACTTGTTTCATTAATCAAGCACATTTACTCCAGAATCCATAACATTTCTACAGTTTAATTTGGACAAAGTGCTATTGGAAATCAGCCAAGTTTTAAAATTGAAATGTTAAGGGTTGATTGTTAGCTCTCCCAGGATTGGTGCAGCTGAAAATACAGAATTTATCCTTAAATTCAGGTGATGGTTCTGGGTGAGTGAGCAGTTAATGGGAGAGGTTTAGAGCTTTACCTCTTGGCAGTATCCCTTGGAAGGGAGCTCTGAGATTTAACTGAATAAACACTTAAAGTTTTCTAGGGACCAGGCACTGTATGAAGCTCTGAGGATCGCAGATGCAATTAGCTGTCCTCATACCCAAAGGTTTAACGATCTAGTGTCATTTGTCTTTAAAAAATAGAAAAGGATGAAGAGAAAAAGCACCTGCTTTGGTCATCGTGAGTAAATGTAGTAACTAACCAAAGTGATTTCCTCAAGATTCAAATCCATAGTTGTTTTGGAGAAAGTAAATGTCAGCTGCATTGTGGCTGTCAGGCACATAGTAGGTGTTAAACAAGCAAGGTTGGTGTTTGTTAAGTGGGGACTAAAGACAGACTGATAGTAAGTTTCATGAGGACCGGGTTTGCTTCTTATATTAATGAGTTATTAATCTACCCAACTTGTTTCCAATCATTCCTTTAAAGTACTAATCTAATACTGCAAAGTTATAATCTAATATTTTACATTAGCACTGCCTAACATGGAGTGGTCCTGTGGGTGGGAGTTTAACTTTGGGAGCAAGGTCACTGAAAACTTGTAGACAGGATCTACCCAAGGGTAGAAAGAAGTCTTACTCTGAATGTGAAAAACCAGTGATATTAATTTAAAGGATCATTTTGTTGATGTAATGTGGTTGGAAGTTTCATTTTAACAAGAACAATTTTATTTTGAAAACATTTGCTCGCTCTCATGTGTTGGTTCTTTCATTAGCCGACTTTGGGAACTGGCTTTTCAGTCTGGAGAAGCTCCAGTCACACGTCTGTGCTGGCCCAGGGCCCACAGAGCATGCAGATGGCGCAGACTTGCCATAGGAGCCTTAGAAAGCTGCCCGAGATGGGAAGAGAAGATAGGGCCTTTTACACATTTCTTACTATGTCAAGTTGCAAAACAAATTTTCCAGCTTTGGTCTACTGAAGTATGAGCATTTTAATGGTTTTTTTCAAGACCATCTAGATATTTTAAAATCTAAGCTTAAAAAAGAAATCTAACGGATATTTGTTTCAATAAAAATTTATTATTGCCCCCTTTATCTTAGCTATATTTTGGGAGGCAAGCATTGTTTTCATTTCAAGAAACACTGTAAGTTCTATCCTGGACTGCATTTTAAAATAAGGTATCATGTTTCTGTTGGTTTGCATAACTGCAGAAAGAAGGAGACAGCTTTGCATGTAAGTAGTACTTTTCATCCACAGATCAGTTTTCTATCAAGTGGAATGACTCCTTCTGTTTGGCAAATAAGGAAACTGGCTCAGAGAAGTTAGGGGTCTGGTCCAGACCTCACAGTGAAGATGCAATCATGTCCTCCCACAGTGAAGATGAAGCCCTGTCTGGGCACAGCTGCGTCCTAGAGGGTGGTCTCGCCGTCAGTTTCTCTTCCGTATCTGTCCACATCTGTGAAGTCACAGTCTGACTCCATTTCTATCTTCACCTGTGGCACCATGAACACTGGGCTCTGTGAATAGTTGAAAGCAGGTGAAGCTGGACAGGAAATTTTGAAGTGCAATGTGATGCTAAATAAGAAAAAGAGGGAAGGGAGAGTGATTTATCTAGTAGTTAGTGTTTTCCACGCTATCCCCCAGGAGGGCTCTAAAGCAAGTAGTTTTGTCCTTGCTTATGAGCTCTTAACACGTCATGGCAATGAGCAACATCCTCTGCGCTTGGCCTTCAGCTGTGCTTGCTGAGCTAGTCTCGCCAGAAGTCTCAGTCTGGTCTTCACATTGCTGCCAAGGCGAACTTTCTGGATCACAGATCTGTCTGTGATTCCCACCATTCAAGAGATAGAATCCAAGCTCCTAGTGTGGCCAGACAGGGCCTTTTATGTTTGCACTTCTGATTACTTCTAGTTTGACTGCCCGTCCAACCCAGCAGTCTTTGCTATTTTCAAATAGTATTTCAGGCGTGTTCCCACTGCCTGAAATGCCCTTCTTTTGCCTCTTTTCTTCTTTATTCTGTACACCTGGCAGGCTCCTATTTATCGTTCTTGGACTGTCCAGATAAGGCAGATCCCTCCCTTAGACACTGTCCTTTCTCTCACATGTGCCCCATTGTTCTCGGCACACACTGCTGTGTGTCTTTGTTGGCAGGCCTGTCTTTTTAGATCCCCAGGGATTACACATCATGCCTGGGAGATCTCAGATGCTTAAACTAGATCATGTTGCTGAGCCTTTTCCTTCACTGAAATGGAATCCTGTTCAGTGGTCTCTGCTTCCACCTACTTACACAAGAGTTGGTAAAACACCAGTGTAGCTGTCCCATGTTTGTATATGGAAATGCCCCATCCTGGTCCATATTTCCTCTCCACAGACTGAGATTGGGGCAATGAGAGGTTCAATTTGGTGTAGGCTACTTAAAAACGAAAAATCAGGATAGACTGCTTTTCTCCCAACACCTTTATATATAAAAATCCATGGCATTCATGTAATGGTGTAGGAACCCTGACTGGGGAGGTGGGATGAGAAAACAGGCAGGGATGTAGTTTGGACGCATGACCCTCCTGGGCTGGAGTGGCCTTGGGTCCGCTGCTTAGGGTGTTTCTCTTCTCATCCTGGCAAAATGGTAACAGCTTTGACTTCTAACTCAGACGATCTCGTGCATGTTTTCTAAAATCTCTTGGATGCGTGCATCTAAGTCTGCAGGTTTATCTGCCTGTAGACTTGGGATAGCCAGTTTAGGGCCCTAGGTAGGAGCACCCTACCATCTTCCCCTGTAATAGCTGAGGCTGACTTTCTTGCCCCTGGATTTCTCTTCTATTTTTGAGCCCTCCTTGTTTTCAATCATCAAGTTGTTCACTTTTCTCATGGCTTCTCATTAAGAACACTAAGGTATCACAGTAGGCACGGGGGCCCCTGGAAACGGCCTGGAATCCTTTCTTGACTATTCTCTCCATTTTTTTTTTTTTTTTTTAAGGAATCTCTATGCCCAACCTGGGGCTTGAACTCACGGCTCCGAGATCAGAAGTTCCACGCTGCACTTAATCTTTGATATTTAGTTAGGTTTCTGACCTTTGCTAATTAACCATGCTGTTACTTTATTCCACATATTACTGGAGTATCTGGCGTTTTGATCTTTGAGCTCATTTATCCTGGCATTCAGTAATATATACTTAAGTCATGTGTAGTTTTTCTCTATGTTGTTTTCCCCCAGTGTTTTCAATTTTACGTAGTATTTTGTAATTTCCTTTTCTAAAGTAGAAGACTTTTGTGTAATCATGACATGTCAGTAAAAGGACATATTTGTTACTTGACGCCAATAATCAGGTCTGACCACCTGTCTCCCAAGGTGGACCAGCAAAGGCCTTTTACGGAGACACTGGCTAACCTGGGAAATCCTAGTCCCTCCGCCTTCCTGGCCACTGCTTAGTCTCTTACCTAATACCCAAGGAGTCTACCTCATGGCCATTACCTCCGGTCGAGTTCTGAGTCACTGAAGGAAGAATCAGAATGAGTAACTCCAACTGGAAGATCTTTTTCCTGGCAGGAAAATTAAAATGTCAGTTGTAGAGCAGGTTTGAGGAGGACGCTGGAGAAAACCTTTCTCCAGTGCTTCCCTCTTGTCTTCCTGTTCTCTAATCCCCACAGCCAACACTACACAAGAGGAAATCAGGATGGATGACTTCTGGCTCAGTTACTCCTTCTCCAGAGGGCTCTCAGCCAGGATAGGTGGGTGTGGGGGAGGGCCAGGGCAGAGTAAGGAAGGGTGATGGAAGAATACAAAATGGGAAGGAGAAGGAAGGAGAGTTAGCAACTAAAAAAGAAGAGGTACTAATGACGGAGAGTGTGATGGGAAGCCCCTCAAGGGCCC